TGTGTGTGTGTGTGTGTGTGTGTGTGTGTGTGTGTGTGTGTGTGTGTGTGTTTCTATGTATATGTACATCTTATCGCCACAAACGACAAATAGGGGACTCTCGAGGTCGAGTGGTTATGGTATTTGCCTCTCATTCAACAGGTTCCCGGGTTCGAATCTGGATATCGAAGGAAAATTTTCATGTCTAAATTTTGTAGGTTTTTTTTTCATTCACCTTCTTTCCTTCTCTCTAACCGTGTTCTGTCGTCTGATTTCGTCTCCACTTTCTGCCCCCACCCCCCTCACCTCCTTTGCCCCCTCCTCTAGGCTCCTGACTCTTTCTGAAGCCTTTCTACTGCTACTCCTTGGCTCTTTCTTACTGCTATCTTTCAGTTACACCTCTAATCTTATGGTAGGTAAGATCTAACACCTAGCCTTCTCGGATAAGGGGCAAAAAATCACGGAGGTTCTGTGTGCAAGTTGCGCACGTTAAAGATCCTTTAGTGGTCCAAAATCGATGAGTAGGCTTCGGCCGCCACCCGGGCAAAATTCGAAATTTCCCACCAACTCAAAATGTTTAATGCGAGCGTCGTAAAACACTTACAAAAAAAAGAGAGAAAAGAAAATGACAAACATGACAGTCAAGAGAGAGTGTTTATAGTGTGTAAGTTTGTGGTCGGACGCGCTGTGTACAATTGCAAAGGGTAAGAAGAGAACATGTGGCTGTGGTCAAATGTGGCTTGTAGTCCTTAATGCTCTTGAAAGAACCGTGTGTATGGTTGGTCAAAATATGAGGCTCGTAGTCCTTAATGCTCCTGAAAGAACCGGATGTTTGGTTGTTCAAATGTGGCTTGAAAAAAACCGGATGTGTGGTTGGTCAGATGTGGCTTTTAGTCCTTAACGGTAACACTCCTGAAAAAACCGGAGGTTTAATTGTTCAAATGTGGCACGTAGTTCTAAGTTGCCAAACTCCTGAAAGAGATTATTTGCCTCTGAGAAAGTTAAAAATTATGACCATTAAGTTAGGATGAAGACATTCGAGGAAAATCTCCAGTCACTGTTGTATTTATTTGTGTGTATTCCGCACCTGGACAGAACAGTGTTTGCGTCACTTAATGTTTCCTGTCATTGGGCTCGTGGGTCAAACCCAGGTCATGACCCCGGGCACCCGCTATGGAGGATAGAAAGAACATGAAAATAAGATCAACTTACTACTCGCTTTACTGATTGGCCCACCATCTCCGTAGAAATCGTCGTTGCGTTGTCTGGGTTTATGATTATTCTTGTACGGAGATAGTTATAGGCTGAAACATGAGCGGAAAACAGAAAACGTACATCACATGACAACATTTTACTACATTTCAGAAAACAAGCTTTGTACTCTCCTTTCTGATGAGTAAATATTTTCTCATGCCCATTGACCCAACTACTGAGGTCATTTCAAGAGCAGACTGCTTCGACCCCCC